AGGGGTGGTGGGTAGCAGGTGAAGGTGGTCAGGAGGGGTTGGGTAGCAGGTGAAGGTGGTCAGGAGGGGTTGTGGGTAGCCGGTGAAGGTGGTCAGGAGGGGTGGGTAGCAGGTGAAGGTGGTCAGGAGGGGTGGTGGGTAGCCGGTGAAGGTGGTCAGGAGGGGTGGTGGTAGCGGTGGTAAGGTGGTCAGGAGGGGTTGGTGGGTAGCCGATGAAGGTTGTCAGGAGGGGTGGGTAGCAGGTGAAGGTGGTCAGGAGGGGTGGGGTAGCAGGTGAAGGTGTCAGGAGGGGTGGTGGGTAGCCGGTGAAGGTGGTCAGGAGGGGTGGGTGGGGGTAGCAGGTGAAGGTGGTCAGGAGGGGTGGTGAGTAGCAGGTGAAGGTGGTCAGGAGGGGTGGTGGTAGCAGGTGAAGGTGTTCAGGAGGGGTGGTGGGTTAGCAGGTGAAGGTGGTCATGAGGGGTGGGTAGCAGGTGAAGGTGGTCAGGAGGGGTGGTGGTTAGAAAGGTGAAGGTGGTCAGGAGGGGTGGTGGGTAGCAGGTGAAGGTGGTCAGGAGGGGTGGTGGGTAGCAGGTGAAGGTTGTCAGGAGGGGTGGTTGGTAGCAGGTGAAGGTGGTCAGGGGGGTGGTGGTAGCGTTGAAGGTGGTCAGGAGGGGTGGTGGGTAGCAGGTGAAGGTGGTCAGGAGGGGTGGTGGGTAGCAGGTGAAGGTTGTCAGGAGGGGTGGTTGGTAGCAGGTGAAGGTGGTCAGGAGGGGTGGTGGGTAGCAGGTGAAGGTGGTCAGGAGGGTGGTGGGTAGCAGGTGAAGGTGGTCAGAGAGGGTGGTTGGTAGCAGGTGAAGGTGGTCAGGAGGGGTGGTGGTAGCAGGTGAAGTGGTCAGGAGGGGTGGTGGGTAGCAGGTGAAGGTGGTCAGGAGGGGTGGTGGGTAGCAGGTGAAGGTTGTCAGGAGGGGTGGTGGTAGCAGGTGAAGTGGTCAGGAGGGTGGTGGGTAGCAGGTGAAGGTTTGTCAGGAGGGGTGGGTAGCAGGTGAAGTTGTCAGGAGGGGTGGGTAGCAGGTGAAGGGGGTCAGGAGGGGTGGGTAGCAGGTGAAGGTGGTCAGGAGGGGTGGTGGGTAGCGGTGAAGGTGGTCAGGAGGGGTGGGTAGCAGGTGAAGGTGGTCAGGAGGGGTGGTGGGTAGCAGGTGAAGGTGGTCAGGGAGGGGTGGGTAGCAGGTGAAGGTGGTCAGGAGGGGTGGTGGGTAGCAGGTGAGGTGGTCAGGAGGGTGGGTAGCAGGTGAAGGTGGTCAGGAGGGGTGGTGGGTAGCAGGTGAAGGTGGTCAGGAGGGGTGGTGGGTAGCAGGTGAAGGTGGTCAGGAGGGGTGGTGGGTAGCAGGTGAAGGTGGTCAGGAGGGGTGGTGGGTAGCAGGTGAAGGTGGTCAGGAGGGGTGGTGGGTAGCAGGTGAAGGTGGTCAGGAGGGATGGAAGATACTGGAGGGACTGATATTATTCGTTCAAATCTACACACTGAAATCACCACTTATAAACACAAATATTTATAGTCTTAAAAACTCTCAGTGACACGCTCTGCAGACGGAGGCTCGAGCCTTCACTGAAGGACACGCAAGATAGATTTTTAAGTTTCTTGCTTTCTCGTGAACTGGAAGTTGGGTATTTCCCTGACATTTAGGGAGTCTTGATGGGTCAGGGCTCTTCATCCATGGATGTGGAGCTACCCTACCCATTCCTCGGATTACACCTGATTGTATATTATTCCCCTGGCGCTGTATAATCCCTGCGGTTTTAGCGCCTGTTACTACTCCCAATAATAATAATAATAATAATAACAGTAATAATAAATGGTTATTAAATCACTTTCATTCAGGTTCAATGTTTTTAGTTTTTCTTTACAGATCAAATTATTTTTTTTCCTTCTGGAGTCTCTCTCTTTCACGTCTTTCAGTATTTCTGTGTTCATGTCTTTTTTTTTTCTTTAAATGTTGGATCCATGCTACAGCTGCATCACCTTCACTCTCATTATCATCATCATTATCTTCGCCATCATCATCACTCGTCTAATTTCGTGTCGATCTTCTACTCTCGCTGTCAGAAGAGCTTATCACACTTGGATATTTTGAGGAAGAGCCTGTCACACCTCGATGTCGAGGAAGAGCGTGTCATACTTCGATGTCGAGGAAGAGCCTACCACACTTCGATGTCGAGGAAGAGCCTGTCACACTTCGATGTCGAGGAAGAGCCTGTCACACTTCGATGTCGAGGAAGAGCCTGTCACACTTCGATGTCGAGGAAGAGCCTGTCACACTTCGATGTCGAGGAAGAGCCTGTCACACTTCGATGTCGAGGAAGAGCCTGTCACATTTCGATGTCGAGGAAAAGCTTATTTCGATGTTTTGAAGAAGGTCTTGTCACACTTCGATGTCGAGGAAGAGTTTATCACACTTCGATGTTACGAGGAAGAGCTTGTCACACTTGGACTCAGAGGAGGCCCCGCCCGTCTTTATCTCCGCCAGGTGACCCAGTTATATCACTGATTAAGAATTGTTCGTCAGTTTTCTTGCCCCGCCTCCTGCATGCCGTCTCCGCCACCTGCATACCGCCTCCGAATTTGCAAACTTCCGCTTTGGTTTTACGACACTGTTTTTGACCTTACGGCAGTGTTCTTTGGCCTTACGACACTGTTCTTTGACCTTACGACAGTGTTCTTTGACCTTAAGCTTCTCTTTTTTATTCTTGGCTTTTCTGTCATGATTCTTTGTGGGTTAATTTTTTCTTTAGTTCTTGTTCTTCGAATTTTATATATATATATATATATATATATATATATATATATATATATATATATATATATATATATATATATATATATATATATATATATATATATATATCAACAACACTGCGACTAGCCAAGGCCTCGAACCCATGCTGCTTTGGCCTGCCTCATGGTGGGTGAAAACTCATGACGCCTTACTCCACTGGACCATACAATCCTTAAGAGTAGCGCATCCAGTGGAACTGGATGTTGTACTCGCTACCCAAGGACATACGATAATGTGGATGACTCTAGACTAATTTCATTCTAGTACCTGTTTGATGTACTGGTACAACGAGCAGTATAGCAGCAGCAGTGTTAGTAATAGTAGTAATTGTTGTAGAAATAGTTGCTGTTGCAAAGACCGATCAGAGGAGTAGTTATAATTGAATTGGATGTGACGAGAGAGAGAGAGAGAGAGAGAGAGAGAGAGAGAGAGAGAGAGAGAGAGAGCTGGCTTCACACAACTCACTCCCCTGTGCTTCTCTACGCTCTGCTCACATTAATTACTCACCTCCTGGTTATAATTAACATATTTACCTCACATTCCAGATCATATCTCATAGTAATTAGGTCATTAATATTTTTTTTATCTAAAATACGTACTTCCTTATTATATATATATATATATATATATATATATATATATATATATATATAATATATATATATATATATATATCCTGCATTATCCTGGATTTAAATTACTGTTCACCAGAACTCCTAAATATTTTTCACATTTGATTGAAATCTGCACTAGTTAGCAAACAGCTGCCATAGGTATGTTCTTTTCAAAGGAGCAGAACCTTCTTATATTTGTCCACATTTAACTGCATTTGTTATTTCTCCGACTTCCCCATCTACCCATCCAGGTCATCCTGTAACGCTCTAGTGTTCTCATCTCAAAATGTTTGACGGCCTATTTTGGTGTCATCGATAAGCTTGCTTATGTTTGTGTACATTCCCTCATCTATATCGTTGATGTATACTGCGAACAGTAAAGGGCCCAACACTGACCCCTGTGAAACACCACTGATAACGGGTCCCCATTCTGGTTTCTTCCAATTTGTGCAAACTCTCTGTTGTCTATTAGTCATGCCTCGATCCAGGAGATAATTTCTCCATCTATTCCGTGTGCTGGTACTTTCCTCAACAGTCTCCCGTGTGGAATCCATATGCACAATATCGTATTCTTTATCTTGATCTACTTCCTCGAATACCATAGTGCACACCGTTAGGAAATATTTAAGGCAGGGACGCCCCCTTTGCAAAACCCTCCTGAAATTAGTCAATCAAACTATATTTTTGAAGATGGCTTTGAATTTCGTCCGCATTTATTTATCCCATCAATTTTTCTACTGAAATTAGGCTGATTGGTCTATGGTTTGAGGCTATTTCCTGATTTGTAAATAAGTATCACATCTGCTATTTTCAATTTATCTGGTGCGATACTCGTTTGCAGTGAACTGTCGGAGAGTCTAACTAATGGTTTGCTAAGTTCCTCCTTACATTCCTTTGTAACTCTTGAAATCACAGTCGATAGTGACCATGTCACTAACGACTGTGATCTTGCATCGTTAATTTTTTTCCTGACCTGTACATATTTTTTTTATTTCAAATATATTATTTATGTTCCCTTGTGTAAAAACGAAAGGCAAATAAGTGTTAAGTGTAAGCTGACCTGAGCTACATTTAAGTAGGCCTATCTTTACCCTAATCTTGCTCCTATACACCTGAAAGAAGCCATCTTGGGTTGATCTTGAATTCCCCGGCAACCTTAAGGTCATAATCTTTCTCTGCCTTTTTCATTACCTTTTTATCACTCTCTCTTAACCTGAATATATTAGGGCATGAGGTGATGCTCTCCTCTCTTCATTTGCTTGTAAATGTCTTTCTTTTCACCCAAGAAATGCTTAAGTATATTATTCATCAACTTAGATTCATTTATGTAATTAAGTAAGTTCATTTAGGCTTAGGTACACATAACAATACATAATGTAAATTACCAAGGATAACCCCGAAAAAAGTCAGTGACATTTCTATGTTAGGAATATATGCGCATTGAGCAGCTTGTACAATGTTCTGGGAAATGTCGTACTGACAACCATCACCCCTATGTGTCAGTAAACATTACCACTCTGCAATAAACAAGAGGAATAAGAGGTGATGTTAGCAAGAGAGGTAATTCCCTGAGTGGCAACCGAGCAGGTTGGCAGGGTGGGTGAGTTGCTCTGTTTGTTGTGATCGCCAGCTGAGCGCTCGACGCCACGCGGGTAGCAGCTGTCTCCGTCGATCGTCAGGTGTGTGTACCGGCAACAGGTGTGTGTATGTGCGTGTGTGTGTGCGTGTAGTCTCAGATATACAAACTAACTGACGCGTGTGTGCGTGTAGTCTCAGATATACAAACTAACTGACGTGTGTGTGCGTGTAGTCTCAGATATACAAACTAACTGACGTGTGTGTGCGTGTAGTCTCAGATATACAAACTAACTGACGTGTGTGTGCGTGTAGTCTCAGATATACAAACTAACTGACGTATGTGTGCGTGTAGTCTCAGATATACAAACTAACTGACGTGTGTGTGCGTGTAGTCTCAGATATACAAACTAACTGACGTGTGTGCGCGTGTAGTCTCAGATATACAAACTAACTGACGTGTGTGCGCGTGTAGTCTCAGATATACAAACTAACTGACGTGTGTGTGCGTGTAGTCTCAGATATACAAACTAACTGACGTGTGTGTGCGTGTAGTCTCAGATATACAAACTAACTGACGTGTGTGTGCGTGTAGTCTCAGATATACAAACTAACTGACGTATGTGTGCGTGTAGTCTCAGATATACAAACTAACTGACGTGTGTGTGCGTGTAGTCTCAGATATACAAACTAACTGACGTGTGTGCGCGTGTAGTCTCAGATATACAAACTAACTGACGTGTGTGCGCGTGTAGTCTCAGATATACAAACTAACTGATGTGTGTGTGCGTGTAGTCTCAGATATACAAACTAACTGACGTGTGTGCGCGTGTAGTCTCAGATATACAAACTAACTGACGTGTGTGTGCGTGTAGTCTCAGATATACAAACTAACTGACGTGTGTGCGCGTGTAGTCTCAGATATACAAACTAACTGACGTGTGTGCGCGTGTAGTCTCAGATATACAAACTAACTGACGTGTGCGCGCGTGGGTGCAGGTGTAAAAGATGACTGACAGGTGTTGTGGTGGACGGTAAATGTTGCTACCAAGAGGAAAGAAGACTGAGACATGTGTATTTGTGTGATATAATGTGTTAGACGCTGTTATAGTTCCCTATTATAATCTGTTAGACGCTGTTATAGTTCCCTGTTATAATGTGTTAGACGCTGTTATAGTTCCCTGTTATAATGTGTTAGACGCTGTTATAGTTCCCTGTTATAATGTGTTAGACGCTGTTATAGTTCCCTGTTATGTGTTAACCAGTGTTATAGTTCCCTGTTATGTGTTAACCAGTGTTATAGTTCCCTGTTATGTGTTAACCAGTGTTATAGTTCCCTGTTATGTGTTAACCAGTGTTATAGTTCCCTATATAATATTTACTTCATGTATAGTGAACGAAAAATTATGGAAAAATCAACAATGTTTCATTTAGTATATATAATAAAATTTCCATTAATTTGTCTTATTTCGGAATGTTTTGTTGCGTTCTAAATTTTTATCACTTGAGTCATGACTCAAATTTACATTCTATAACATATGCTCTACTTAGTGCTCGAAATGTGCGCAAAAAAAATGTTTCACTGTTTCCATCATACATTCGTAGATTCAGATAAGTATATTCACTAACTCGCGAAATGGTGCCCAAAGATTGACGACGTTTCGGTCCGCGAGTGATTGACGACGTTTCGGTCCGCTAGTGATAGACGACGTTTCGGTCCGCGAGTGATAGACGGCGTTTCGGTCCGCGAGTGAGAGAAAAGTGAAGACACCGACAAGTGTGGTGAGATAAAGCTACATGCGCTTGAGGACGGCGTTTAGCCTACACAATAGGCTTTTTCTAGTCTGGTGACCTGAAAAGGTCCCAAAAAGCCTACAGCGTAGGAGAAACGTTGCCTTCAATTAAGTTTCCCCATTATGGCTTTTGACTTTATCAAAACCATAATCTTTATTTTTACAAGTACATGTACAAGGTATACAAGCCTAGCTGACATCAATGACATATTACTATATAGAAAGTCGCTTGTTATGCTGAGCATTTCCCGCAAATTAGGTCAATTTTTGTCTCCAGGATACGACCCACACCAGACACCTAACACCCAGGTATCTGTTTTACTGCTAGGTGAACATGGACAACAGGTGTCTTAATGAAACACGTCCTAATGTTTCCACCCATACCGGGGCTCGAACCACAGACCTCAGTGTGTGAGCTGGCACTCGAGCTACGGAGGTATGGGAGACAGCCTCGGTCAGGTTCAGAAGATTAGAGATTTTAACTCTGCAAAGCATACGTCGCGTGTTGTGAACTCTAGTTTATTTGCGGTGTGGACTGGTAAGCCAGGAGAAGTTCTCAAGTCATATGACCAGAAGCTCCAGCTAGCAGGTTCTTGCGAGACCCGCGTTAGGCAACCCTTGTTCTGTTTACTATAGCGAGTGAGATACTGGGCCCAGTCAAGACTGGCATCAAGACAAAGGAGTCCGAGTCTATGACTTATGGTAGGGATGGTGGGCATAAGAGTGACTGACCATGGTAGCATGGTAGGGATGGTGTGTATAAGGGTGACCATGGTAGGATGGTAGGTATGGTGTGCATAAGGGTGACCATGGTAGTATGAGAGGGATGGTGTGTATAAGGGTGACCATGGTAGGATGGTAGGTATGGTGTGCATAAGGGTGACCATGGTAGTATGGTAGGGATGGTGTGTATAAGGGTGACCATGGTAGTATGGTAGGTATGGTGTGCATAAGGGTGACCATGGTAGTATGGTAGAGACTGTGTGTATAAGGGTGACCATGGTAGTATAGTAAGGATGGTATGTATAAGGGTGACCATGGTAGTATCGTAAGGATGGTGTGTATAAGGGTGGCCATGGTAGTATGGTAAGGATGGTGTGTATAAGGGTGACCATGGTAGTATGGTAAGGATGGTGTGCATAAGGGTGACCATGGTAGTATGGTAAGGATGGTGTGCATAAGGGTGACCATGGTAGTATGGTAAGGATGGTGTGTATAAGGGTGACCATGGTAGTACGGTAGGGATGGTGTGCATAAGGGTGACCATGGTAGTATGGTAGAGACTGTGTGTATAAGGGTGACCATGGTAGTATGGTAAGGATGGTATGTATAAGGGTGACCATGGTAGTATGGTAGGGATGGTGTGTATAAGGGTGACCATGGTAGTATGGTAAGGATGGTGTGCATAAGGGTGACCATGGTAGTATGGTAAGGATGGTGTGTATAAGGGTGACCATGGTAGTATGGTAAGGATGGTGTGCATAAGGGTGACCATGGTAGTATGGTAAGGATGGTGTGTATAAGGGTGACCATGGTAGTACGGTAGGGATGGTGTGCATAAGGGTGACCATGGTAGTATGGTAGAGACTGTGTGTATAAGGGTGACCATGGTAGTATGGTAAGGATGGTATGTATAAGGGTGACCATGGTAGTATGGTAAGGATGGTATGTATAATGGTGACCATGGTAGTATGGTAGGGATGGTGTGTATAAGGGTGACCATGGTAGTATGGTAGGGACGGTGTGTCAACAGGAAAGCATCAATAAAAGATATATAAACAACGTATTGAAAATATCTCAGCTAGACAGGGCTCTCAGCAAACGAATTAAAGTTGGACAAATTGAGGTTTAGAAAGATATATGGAAGTGTTGTTGTAGTACAGTGGGTTGTGGATGAGTGGAACAAACTGCTGAGTACTATCTTTGTATTGAGACCTTTGGGTAACTTTAATATTTGGTTGGATGGGTACACGAGTGGATGTGGGTGTGAGTTAAACCTGCCTAGCGTGGGTCATATGCATAGCAGTTAGGTATATTTATTTTTAAAACGTTTCAACTACACAGTAGGCTTCTTCGGTCGAATACAGAGCTGATTAATATGGAGACAACAGAGGTAGTGGAGAGGTAAAGTTATCAGTCCATCATCATCCTTGAAGTAGTAGTTTTGAGGTGGTCAGTCCCTCAGCCTGGAGAAATGTTCAGCTTCGTTATCTTGAGAAATGTTCTTATCTTCTTAGGAAGGAGGAGTACTACAGCAGCAGGCCTACTGCCCCATGCTAGGCAGCTCTAACTCCCACACCCACTCACGTACCTGTCAAACCCATTTTTTAAAGAATTCAAGAGTTTTCCCATCAGTGACGCTGCTCGGGAGTTTGTTCCACTTACCCACAACAGTTGCCTCTTAACCTCTTGAAGAAGATTGTTTACAACGCTGCAGAAGGCAGCGTCAGAGACAAATATGCCCTTGTGTGGATACATTTGTAGCTATGTGCGCGAGCTTGCTTGCATGTGTCTGCGAGTTTTTGTGGACGTGAGCGAGAGTTGGTTAAGGAGGTTTAAAGCCTATTGTTTACACGAGTGCCATTAAGGCTGCGTGTCACCTTTACACCACAAGTCAAGAAGACTTTTGTCCCTAAATTAAGGATTAAAGTAACCTATGAGTGTATATATGCTGAGAGACCATGTATTTGTGTGTTATATCCTGTGTGCGTGAGCACACAGAATATAACACACAAGTACATAAGAGTGGTGCTGGTGGACCAGCGCTGTGGTTCACTGTCTGCCAGCCAGGTTCCCACCATTTAGTAAGCATTATCCTGCTGCCTTTGGCTTATCCTGCCTTCTCTTACTCCCGTGTAGTGTTTACTGGGGTCGACACTCGGCTCCTGGCCCCGCCTCCTAGTCTACTGCCTCATCCAAATACTTTCTTACATCCCTATGCCACATCTGTCTTTAGCTTCTACAAGTGTGTGTGTGTGTGTGTGTGTACGTACATACGTGTGTACACTTGCAGTGATGGGCAATTCCTGCCTATCGTTGTCCAGTCGTACCCAGTCTTAAAACAGTGTATGGTGTGTATATATGTCAAGCTATTGGTTAAACATTATCTTTATTCAGTTTATATATATATATATATATATATATATATATATATATATATATATATATATATATATATATATATATATATATATATATATATATTGATAGTTTATTTTGTGATGAATGGTGGCGGTGTAGGTGGGTGATAGTGTTGCTTTATCATACTGTTAACTGACAAACATCTTGACTCAACTTGCAGATAAAGAGATTAATGGCGTCAACAGTGTGACGTTTAGTTCCTCTTGCGCCCTTGCCCAGAATAAGAGCAACAAGAGGGACTGTCTGAAGACTTGTGAGGCGGCTGGACCCACCTGGTGAGGTAGGGCTCTGCTGTGGACTAATCAAAACACCTCCGCGGGTTCCTTGTATTCGTGTAGTGTAGTGTTGTGTTGCTTGTAGGGCACGCTAGGAAAAAATGAGTGATGTGTAACTTAATGCATTCCCAGTATTGAAGAATCGCTCGTGCGTCTATGTGATACTTGTTGATTAAAAAAAAAAGAAAAGTGCTTGATTTTGTGTGACTGGCGGTGTTTCTGAGCATTCACGATGGTGTTATTGTGGACCCAACACGATGGAGAGCGCATCGAGCCCCAGCCGACGGATGAGATCGTGCAGGAGCACCGTAAAGAAGATCAACAAGTGGCCAGCAAGACCGTGAAGGGCGAGGGCTCAACCACCCAGGCTTGTGCCTCTCCAGTTCCGACCATAAACATCGAAGACCTGACCGCTGGTGCCCCTCCCTCGGAGAAGCATGTAGTCACGCTGTGCCAAGTCTCTGAGATCATCGGCAGGAAGAAGTGTAGCACCTCCTTCATTTCTCCCTCCGTCTCTCCCTCCTCCTCCTCGGCATCTCCCTCCCCTCCTCCGTCCTCCTGCACCCCCACAAACACCGACACGGTGGAGGTGGTGTCGGTGGAGACACTGGAGGCGGCAGCGTTGGAGAACACCACCCGCGTGGCTGTCAACAAGACTGCTACTCTCGGACCATCACTACGCCTGGAGGAGGAGGAAGAGGAGGAGGAAGAGGGTAACAGGAAGAAGAAGAGTCAGAAGAGGAAGTTCTACACACTTCCCAGGAACTGGAAGAGCAAAGCTGCAGATTTCATCTTGACTAAAGGTAGAGTGGCCAGCTGAATGTTGCAGGTGGTGATGGTGGTAGATTAATGTTGCAGGTGGTGATGGTGGTAGATTAATGTTGCAGGTGGTGGTGGTGAGTTAACATAGTTGCGGGTGGTGGTGGTGGGTTAATATAGTTGCAGGTGGTGATGGTGGTAGATTAATGTTGCAGATGGTGATGGTGATAGTTAATGTTGCAGGTGGTAATGGCGGGGTAACATAGTTTCAGGTGGTAATGGTTGGGTAACATAGTTGCAGGTGGTGGTGGTGGGGTAACATAGTTTCAGGTGGTAATGGTGGGGTAACATAGTTGCAGGTGGTAATACCTTATTAAGAGTTTTAACGTAACGCTGTGATGATACTTACGGATTTTGCCCTTGATTTATAACACCTCAGTGATACTGTGTTTTAGGGACAATTTATATATAAATATTTATATATATATATATATATATATATATATATATATATATATATATATATATATAACACACACACACACACACACACACACACACACACACACACACACACACACACACACACACACACACGCGCGCGCACGCGCACGCGCGCAAATACAAGAGGCCTAGTGTCTAATCGACATGTGCCTAGGACAAAATGGTAACTAACACAAAAGTCAAAGATCAGATCTCTGAGCTCATCTTCGTATTTCACTATAGGAATGTGAGAGATGTGTATGAGGGCGAGACTTGGTGATATACAACGTTTGCTGTGTGAACACTTGATCATGAGAGACTTGGCCGCCGTGGTTACCAGACAGAGGACCGAGCCTACCTGGAGTTTACCTGGAGAGAGTTCCGGGGGTCAACGCCCCCGCGGCCCGGTCTGTGACTAGGCCTCCTTAGGTCAGTGTCCCAGGATGCGACCCACACCAGTCGACTAACACCCAGGTACCCATTTTACTGATGGGGAACATAGACAACAGGTGGAAAGAAACACGTCCAATGTTTCTACTCTGGCTGGGAATCGAACCCAGGCCCTCGCCGTGTGAAGCGAGAGCGTTAACCACCAGGCCACCAGAGCACCTACACCAGTGCTTGTGTTCAGTGACCCCCCCCCTCACACACACTTAATACAAGGTTCTTCCCCTCCTTGTGGTTCACGGTCATGTAGTATGTTGGTCTTACTGTATAAATCACAGCGCACTTCACTACATTATTAGCCGAGTTCTCGTCTGGAAGGATCTTTCATTATCGTGCGTTACTGTAGTGACGTTTTCGTAGTAGCGAAGTTGACATCACACTGGGCTAAGATATTTCCTGTTTTTCATGACATATATAGTATGTGTGTCTACGTAGTATGTGTCACATATGTTGCACTGTACTGACACATACGCTAACATTGTCACATTACGCCAACATCCAGATACATATACGCCACCATCGACTTTCACTATTACGCACAGGGCTTGCTATTAAGTTTGAGCCTCACTTCCTGTGCTGTATTGTGTATTGTGGCCACGCCCCCCTCTGAGGCCACGCCCCCCTCTGAGGCCACGCCCCCTCTGAGGCCACACCCCCTCTGAGGCCACACCCCAGAGGGACGCGGCCATTATACAGCTCTTCGCAGAGAGAAATTTTCTCCCAATAAGAGAGCCTTTTACAAAACGTCTTTTGTCTTCATATTTGTCGACAGCGCGCCATTTTTATGCCTAAATGTCCATTTACTAAACAAACAAGAGCAACATTTGCCCAAGAGCTCTCAGTGGCGTCGTGTTTCCCAACTCTGTTGCAAGCGCAATGTGACATTTGCCTAACCGCAGAACACATACGATCCTCAATACTGCAGCTCCCGGCTGACAGCGTGAGAGCGTCCCAGAGCTATTATATTATGTAGTTTCTCAAGGCTGTGGGTTAGTCTTGCCGTCCCGAGCAGCGTGAAGCCAGCGGTGGTGTGAGACGGACCAGATCGCTGAACGTAGGGAACAAGTAAAAGACTTGTGGGTTGTTATATTAGAGGATCTATCTTTTGGGGAACACAATAAGGCAGAGGAGCAGAGGCTGGAGGGTATTGCAAGCTGGGTTATGAGAAAAGAAGAAAAAGGCACAATACCGTGACTGGAACAATACACAAATAACCCGCACATGGGAGATCGAAGCTTCTCTCATAACCTTCTCTCTATGTGCGGGTTATTTGTGTATTGTTCCAGTCACGGTATTGTGCCTTTTTCTTCTTTAAATTGCTGTTGCCCTCACGACTTGAATATTGTTCGGTGCTCTCGGCGCATCTTGCGGCAGGAGAGATACCAGAGCTGGGAAAAGTAGCTAAATTAACCACCTAAACTATTGAGATTCTTCAAAGCCCATGGCGATTTGTTTTCTGCAGATAAGAGATACCTGATAATTTATACATGGAAGGTACTTGAGGGCTTGGATCTTAACCTGCAAACTGCCATAACTTACGAGAGTGAAAGATGCGGGAATAGTGTGGAATAAACCAGAGTGAAAAGTAGGTGAGCCACGGGTACAGTCAGAGAACACCAAGTCAACATCCGTGGTTCAAGACTCGTCAGCATTATTCCCAGCAGATATCAGAAATATTTCCGGAATACAGACAGAGGTGTTTAAGAAGTAGCGGTCAGCTTCCTGCTGCAGGTGATGGATCAGCCAGGTTGTGGATATGTTGGCAGCACTGTATGATCCTCGAGTGTTTATCGCTTCGTTATGATTGTAATAATATGGACATGTGCGCCTGTGGTCCCCTAGCTGGTATGTGGGTAAGACAGCAACACACACCCAGTTCATGAGTCACTGGGTAAGACAGTGCAACACATACCCAGCTCATGGGTCACTGGGTAAGACAGCAACACACCCAGCTCATGGGTCACTGTGGGTAAGACAGAGCAACACACACATTGCAACATTCAGCCTCTGGGTCACTGTTTTCACGTTACACAACTGACATCAATGACCGCACTAATACACTAAAAACTACATTGACCTAAATGTTGAATGTATCTAAAAGACATTGAAGATTAGTGTAACTTGCTGCGTCATCAACATCACGTCTTAACGTTAGTGTACGTCGGTGACACCCACTGCTGGTGGAAATATAGATTACAAGCTGAAGAAAAGACAGAAGTACCAGAACACGCTGGTAGTTACTGTTCATCAGCTTCTGTTGCTGGTAGTTGTGGTTAAGCTGTTTCTGTTGCTGGTGGCTATTTTGCATCAGCTTCTGTTGCTGGTGACTTTTTCACCAACCTCTGTTGCTGGTGACTGTTGTTCATCAGCTTCCGTTGGTGGTGGTTGTTGATCACTTCCTTGGTTGCTGGTGACATGGCTGCCTCACGGGCAGTAATAAATGTGTCTTGTTCCTCTCCACTTCGCTTGTGAGGCGAGAGAAACTCTTGACGGTGTTCCCCAAGGATGGAGGCTGACGGAGCTTCGTCTGGCGCAACTGATAAGTTCTCAGGGCTGTCTTATCCATTACCTGCTTCCTACGTTGGAAGTCGACTTGGTCACGATCCTTCCTGAGGCTGGCGAAGCTTATTCGGTTAATATCTGAATGTTGGTAGAATTACCGACAATATGTAAAGTAAAAGGACACAAATGCAACTAATGTGACATTTTTATTGTGGCAACGTTTCGCTCTCCATGAGCTTTGTCAATCCGTTGACAAAGCTCCTGGAGAGCGAAACGTTGCCACAATGAAAATGTCACATTAGTTGCACTTGTGGCCTTTTACTTCACATAATATCTGAGTGATGGTACTAAGTCTGTGGCTCTTCCCTGTACGGTCTTCATTATATTTTCGCCGTATTCATAATTTGAAGACCCCCATGATAAAGCCACTGGTTGGCGAAACGTTTACAAATAAAAATATCCAGATTTTTCACATACGTTTAATTTTTCATCATTATAAGAGAGTTAATATGGCATCCAGTATTTTTGTCGTCTGGCAAAACTGGGTTGCTCTATCCATTACTTCCTTCGTACGTTGGAAGTCGACTTGGTGACGATCCTTCCTGAGACTGGTGACGCTTTGTCTGGCTTACAGACATGCATATTGTAGATCAATGGTTCAGAGAACCGACACGTTGATAAATTAGACACATGTGCAACTCTTGGGTATCTTTCTTGAGGAAACGTTTCCTCAATAAAGATACCCAAGAGTTGCACATGTGTCTAATTTATCAGACATGCATATGTTGAAACGTGTTTCACCCAAGTTGATGGATTGATTACAATCATCTTTACTTCGCTACTACATCTGCTGCCTCTGTATCAGACTGAAGAAACCTAGGCGAAACGTTTCAACAGTAAAGATTCCAAAGTGTTGCACATGTATCTTAACAAGGAGCCTTGGACACATTCTGGCTCGTGGAGTGTCATGTCTTCAGAGATTTAACATGACCACAGCACAAAAGTTTTCTGGGTTGCAAGAAGCGTCGCCAGTACTTTTTTTTTTTTCCTTTTTTGTGGGAAAGTTCGCGGAAATGTTATATTTTGGCGTCGACGCCAAGTGACGGAGCAACTCTGAAGCTTCACGGAACTGTCAGCTGCGTCACCTTCTGTAGTAGATGACTGTGTGAACCTCAGTGGGGATTCTCTCTCTCTCTCTCTCTCTCTCTCTCTCTCTCACCCACGTAGTAGAGATTACCTTTTTTTTTTTCATTTTCTTTATGGGCTTAAATTACAAAGTAAAGCATTTATACATTTTGTCGCGTATTTCTTCGAAAGCTTTTTTTGCTAATACAAAAAAGAAGGTTGTGGTTTATTCTGCTTCGTTAAATACGTGCGATTTTTTTTTTTTTTTTTTTGGTCGGCTTCGGCGTGACGATGAGTCTCGGCTTGTAGTGGTTGTGTTGCATGTAGGGGATGGTGGTGGTGGTCGATGTGGTGGGATTGAGAGTGGATGTGTTGGTGGTTGTCGTGGTTGGGGAATGGCTGTGAAGGTCATAGTGGGAGTCTTAATGCGATGGGAAATAGTTGGGCAAGTGGGTGGGTGGGAATGGTTGGTTTAGAGAAGAACCTG